GGTATGTTGTTTAGTCACTGCGACCACTTCTATGGATGGACTAGACAACTGTTCGATACTATGGTTGAACCTTTTCTTTCTTTTCGCTTATACAGCCCAGGATGCTTTTAACTGTGGACGAGGATCTGAAGCCCCTCTCAGTACCTGTCCGCGTTGGGCAAGCTGTCGACGTAGTTGGTCAGGCTGGCAGGCCTAAGACAATTACCGGCTTTCAGACACACTCCACACCAGTCTTGCTTGCAGCAGGCGAAAGAGCTGAACTAGCAACTGAAAAGTAAGCTGCATACAGAACTAACGAAGTGTCATATACTTTTATAAGTTCCTCAAAGGAAAGGTTAATCACTGTTCGTTTGTGTTCTGCAGATACATTCCACTGACGCCGGTATTAGAGGGCTTTGTGATTCTGAAGAAGAACCCAGAGTACCATGAAGAGTGAAAGACTTTAGTATGCCAGATAGCATGGTGTTTCCTGAGGCTCGTCCACATGGCAGTCTTCAAGCCTGGCACACCTCGCCGAGGAATGGTTCGCCCTTGGATAACTTGCTCAGCACATTCTGGCTTCCTGCGTCCGTTCATCTTTGATTCTTACCAGAGTTGTGGCTAACTGAAAGCTGTCTTTGGTTGTGCTGATATACCACTTGTAGGTGTGTCCAGTCTGTTTACTTCACCTCCAGTGTATCTGTACGATTGTTTTTATTACTATAGACGTTTTTAGAGCTTACTCTGTACGTGAGGTGATAACATGGAATAGCATTTTTGGCGTTCATCTCGGCCAATCCATAGTCCTTGTTTTGACATGTTGCACCATCATTATCCGTTTTCTGTATTTTGTGGTCCGTTCTGTACGTGTGTGCTGGAAACACTGTACACAAGATATTTAGGGCCTGATTGGGACTGCTCTGCTCCATCTTTTGTAGCTCTGCTCTCTACACAAACTCTGCTTAAAAAAAGATGGAGTTTTGGTCCAACTCTATGTTTTTAGCAAACTCTACAAACTCTGCTCCAAAAAAGATGGAGTTTTGTTGTTACGCAAATACTGTTTCGTTCTATTTCCTCCCGTCGTCCCCAACTGCTTTCCCCTTTCGTTCCGGCAGCGCATACAGGCCAACGAATCCGGCGTTGCTGGCGGAACGCAACCGGCGAACGGTTGTCGACGGAGTTGCGACCGCCGACGACGAAGGAAGTTCTCGGATTTCGCCGCGCGTCCAGATCGCCACTTTGATCTGCATCTGCCTCGACGTGGTTGGGCTCCGACCCCAACAGCGGTTGTGGCGGCCTGGCGGTCCTCCCCCACCCCGACGGCGGTTCTCCCTCCAGCCGCGAGCCCGCGAGCGCCCCTCCCGCTAGAGCTCGTCGGAGGTCACCGGGCCCGCGCTCCCGCCCGTCCGCTCTGGTCCAAGCTCCTCCCGCCTCCGTGGCTGCGCCGCCCACCGCCAGCAGTCCGTGGCCGCGCCGCCCGCCGCCGGAGCACGCAGACCGCCATGGCCCGCCGCCAGAGCTCGCAGGACCGTTAGACCTCCACGCGCTCCCGCCCAGCCATGGCCGAGCCTCCAGCCGCCCACTGGAGCTCGCCCCGCTCATGTATTCTGTACACATGGCTTGTGTGCATGGTGAATCTGAGACTGACCTTCCCAGCTCGATGTGCGCCTGATACTGAAAAGGATTTTTGGGCACTGAGAGGGATTTCCCAATAGCACGAGTAGCAGCTGGCATTTGAGAGGCTACTGATTCTGATCTGCTAAAATCAGTTCAGTATATTTAAGTATCATCCAGTATATCGGAGCTCTTCTTAATGGTTTTTGTCTTCGATCATGTGTTCTAATTGCTGTAACCTTAGTTCAGTATTGATTGATTCAGACCTGCACACTACCGCATCTTTCTTTGCAGTGCTAATGCATCTTGTAAAATTCTGAATGTACTGAATGTCTTTGCCATCCTGATCGAGAAAAAAACATGGCGAAGAATTCAGGAAGATTGGAGGTTCAAATGTATTTCGTAATTGGTAGTTTTTTTTTATTGTTTCTTTGTTTCTTTTTTCAGCCATGTTTTTTTAATTTTAGATTTTAGTCACCCTTTTAGGTTCGAACGTGTATAAGAATTTGCCTTCCAGTTTAGTTTCAGTTTTTAGTCATGGTTTTTTAGTTTCAGTTCTGTCACTTTTTAGGTTTGAATGCACTCCTAAATCTTACGTATTAGTCGTATAATAAATTATTTCATTTTTTTTCTCAATTATGTGTTTTGTGTTTTCTGGTTGTTAATTTTTTGTTTCATTTTTTCACTCATTTATACTATTGAGCCACTTGTGATGAGATATATGAAATAAGACTACCATATATGTGTTTCAAAATAGTTTATAGGTACGGGCAATTTATGTTATATATGTCGTAGCTATTTATGTATGGACAATTATTTGTATCCGAAATATGAACTTTGTCAATTATCCATCAAGCGCTTTGAAATTTACGTGACAAAAGTATGGAATTATTTGGCCAAAATATTTGTTTTTTACTTTTCTCCAATAAATTAAATGAGATTATAATATTTATACCATATTTGAATTGGTAAAAAATATTCAATTACACATGCTCTGCATGCAACAGAACATACACCAAACATCGATCAGGGGCATAGTAGACCTTTCCTATAGAAATCTCATGTTTCCAGAGCTGGAGCTAAACTGCGTGCCAAACAGGTCCACTTGCTCCAGAAACTCTAAGTGGAGCTGCTCTGTGATGGAGTTGGTGGAGCGAGCTGAAAAAGGTAGAACAGAGTAGTCCCAAACAGACCCTTAAGTGTGCCCCTATGTCTCGATATTCTTGTGTGCCTTAGAGCATCTCAGGGTGGGGTGGGGGAGCGGGGTTGAACTGGGCTTTATTGATAGTTTAAGAGGTAAATCAAATTATAAATATGTTTTCCTAAAAGTATCAAATATTTCTCCTAGAAAATTTTATGCGAATAAAAAAAAATCCTAAAATCTATTAAAAATATAGAGAATTTGTTTTTAGCTCAAAATTATCAAACATGTTTCAATTTTGTTTTCTAAAATCACACTCTGTCTTATGGTGCCTAAATTGAAATTATTTGAATATTCGATGGTGTTTTTTTTATGTTTATTTGGTAGTAGATGCTCTTCTTTTATATTATAAGTAGTCGATGTTGACAAACCAAACTGCATAGAACCAAACTACATAGAAGGGCAAGTAACACGAACTATTGTCGCTAGTAGATACTCACGTTAGCTATTATAACCGGTTGATGTTGACAAACCAAACTACGTAGAAGGCTAAGTGATATGAACTACTCTCGCTAGTAGATACTCTTGTTATCTATCTTTTTGGGGTTTGTAATATTTGTATTGTATTGCTGGTGTTTGCGATACCCGTGATCATGTTATCCACACTTTAACAACAACACTTTTTGCTTTTTACACTAACATGGTCATAGATAGAATCAAAGTGATACTTATGTTCGTACTAAGGCTTGTTTAATATAGCTTATAAGCTGCTTATAGCTAAAATAGTCTAAAACTAAAAGGCAAACAACACTTTTTTTAGCCTTTTCTAGCCACACTTCTCTCTATAGGCCTGTTCGCACAAAAAAACATATTTTGGCCACACATTTTCTCCATTTGTGCAACTTCTCAGGGAAGCATTTCTCCCATAGTTATACCAAACAAGGGTTAAAATAGAATAAATTAGGATGTGATTACATCATTACATGACACTTGTGTTGCCATCAAAGTCATCTGAACCTTTTCATTGTCTGGGCCACCAACATAGACTAATTATAGTATATTTGAGAACATCTGCTAGCAAATAAAAAGCTAAATGAATCTATAGAAGACTTGGTTAGTCTTAATTTGGGCACCATAAGATAGATCATGATTTTAGAAAAATTATAAAATTAGTTTCATATTTTTCTAAGATATAAAGTAACCTTTCTATGATTTTTTTCTAAGATTAAATCAGATTTTAAAATTTTTTAGTTAAATAATTTATATAGAAAAGTATTCAAATAGTAGTTGTTGTTCGTTTACCTCCCTAAACTAAACTATATAAAAGAAGTCTAATTTGCTCTTTTTTAACTGACGCACGTCAGTCAAAATTACCGTCACTCATATTGCGAGAACAAATGGTTTTAAAACTTGATGATGGTTGTAAAAGGGCATGTCACCCGGTGGAAGGGGAGTCTAGTGGGTAGGATGCTACCCTATGCTACCCAGAGTTCAAATTCTGATTTTGCATTTTTTAGATTTTTTCCTAGAAAAAGCAGGTACATGCACGCTTGCGCGCTCGGTGTTACTGGTGTTTTCTCGTGGATTGAAGGTCAGAGAGCCTCTCAATTTCTTCTTTGCGTGTGTACAAACGCACGCCTGTGTGTGGGTCGTGTGCGTCCAAGTTGTACTCGATAAAAAAACTTGATGTTTTTTTATATAACTCTAGATGACGGTTAAAAATTCGGTTTTCTAAACGAGGGAGGAAATCGAACTACAGCGAAAGTTTTTTTTTTTTGATGAACCGCGAAAGTTTTGAGGTTCAAAAAGACGTTTTCGAATTACATTCACCCATTCAGGCCGGAAGGCTAATAATATATTCCTCCTCCTGGGCCGTACGGCGCGGGCCTTGAAGCCCGAATCATGTGGAACAGCATCTTCCTTCCTTGGGGCCAGCCTCCTGAACTCCGCTTCCGGTTAAATTAAAAAAAAAAACTCCGCTTCCGGTTCTGGCCCATTGGCGTTGCTCACATCGCCGCGCCTGCGCCGCCCCTCTCCTCCGCGTGCCCTCCTCGTCCTTCTCTGCGGCGGCGAGGGAGCTGCCGTCGCCTGGAGGAGTGGGAAGAAGTGCTGCCGAAGGGGTGATTTACGGAGCGAGAGCTCCTGAGAGTTGAAGCTAGAGCGGCTAGGAGCAGGTTTGGAGCGCTACCAAACAGGCTCCAGCGAGCGCCGCCGCCGCCTGCCGTGATCTCTCCCTGAACCACCCGGTTGCAACCGAGCAGCTAGCATGGGGGAGGAAGAAGATGATCCTGACTGGCTCCGCGCGTTTCAGGTACTTCATCTCCCTCCTCTACCCCATCTCCACTTGGCTCTGGTCTCCATGGCTAAATCGTGGCATCTGCTGGGGTAAGCTAGCTTTCTTATTCCTCTTGGAGCAAATCTTCTGTTCCGGATGCAGGATGCGACCTCTTGCCTTGGATTTCCACCTCACTTGTACAATCCTGCTCGTGAAACTCTAGCGAAATACAGTAGGTCAGGCGGCACTAACTAAACCCCGGTGGGTGACATACTGACAGGGTTTTCCTGCCACGGTTTCTACATCCTTGTCTTGCCATTAGTTGCTTTTCAAATGTGCGAATTTAAAACTCGGAAGTAAAGGAAACGAAGACAAATAATGTCGTACTAGCAGTTGATCTGTGTCTTTGTGCCAATGGGCTCATTATGTGCCATAAATTGGTTCATGTCCTGCTCAAGAAAGTTCCTGCTCTTTCTGACCCCATAGGTTTGAGCTCTTTCTGTTGGTGCATTTGTATAAGGAAGTTTTTAGCTATGCTTATGCTTTTTGTAAAACTGTGGTCGTCCACCTTGATACCACCAAGTAATGTCAAGAATGGTACAACAACAACAACATAGCCTTTCAGTCCCAAGCAAGTTGGGGTAGGCTAGAGTTGAAACCCACCAAGAGCCCCAAGTCACGGTTCAAGCACTTCAATAGCTGCTTTCCAAGCACTCCTATTCAAACATAGATCTCTAGGTATATCCTAAGCTTTCAAATCTCTTTTTATTGTCTTCCCCATGTCAATTTCAGTCTTCCTCTACCTCTCCTCATATTATTAGCTTGGCTTAGGACTCCACAATGCACTGGTGCCTCTGGAGGTCTCCTTTGGACATAGCCAAACCATCTCAACCGATGTTGAACAAGCTTTTCTTTAATTTGTGCTACCCCTAGACGATTACGTATATCATCGTTCCGAACTCGGTCCATTCTTGTGTGACCACAAATCCATCGTAACATACGCATTTCTGCAACACTCAATTGTTGAACATGTCGAATCTTTGTAGGCCCACATTCTGCTCCATACAACAGAGCCGGTCTAATCGCCGTTCTATAAAACTTGCCTTTTAACTTTTGTGGTACCCTCTTGTCACAGAGAATGCCAGAAGCTTATCGCCATTTGATCCACCCTGCTTTGATTCTATGGCTAACGTCCGCATCAATATCTCCATCCCTCTGTAGCATCGATCCCAGATACCGAAAGGTATCCTTCTTAGGCATTACTTGACCTTCCAAACTCACATCTCCCTCCTCCTGTGCAGCTCCGCCAAAGTCGTATCTCATGTATTCGGTTTTAGTTCTGCTCCAATCTAAAACCTTTAGACTCAAGGGTCTGCCGTCATAACTCTAGAATGGTACTAAAGGGCGTATCCAGTGCAGAGAGCTCCCGCTCTGTTCGGGGTCTGGGGAAGGGTGTCGGTGGCAAGCCTTACCCTCGCCTATGTAATGCGAGGAGACCGCGACTCGAACCCGGGACCTTCCGGTCATAGGCGGATAAGTCTATTATGTAGCAGTTACCACTTACCACATGGATTCAAACATTTTTTTTTCTGGGAGCATAGGCACCAAGTGTGGCACCAGTGATGCTTTCTTCTGGGTCAGATGATTCTCGTGAAGCTAGTCCGACAAGAACCAGTGCATCTAGAGAACAAGACAAAGGAGAGAAGCAGGCTAGTCCAGATCATGCAGGTGATAGAGATGGTGCTTCACAAAATAAAAGCAAAATCTCAGCAGCTACTAAAAGAAAAAAACTTGGCAGTAAAAAGGGTAGAACATACCTGTATATTTTTGTACTATAAAAATTCTGAGGCACGAGTCCTATAGGTTTTGATCCATATTTGTCACATTGTTTCTTATTCTTTTGGCAAATATGCAGATGGATCAACCATGGATGAAAAGCAAGCTAATACTCCTAGACGCTCGGTATGGATTTGAGTGTTGTTTTAGATTCCCTGTCTCCTATTCATGATATCTTGGTAACTAGGCTGGTGTTGTGTTGTTGCTTCATCCATTAAAAAGGATAATATAGCACTATGTAATTTCTACTGTACTATTAGAGACTCAGGCTACTAGTTTGTCCATCAATGAAACTGTGCAGGCATTATTTTATTGTACAGATTATCTGTACCTGTTTGTAATGTTCGATTTCTATTGTGATATTAGTGATCAGACATTGCAACTGTTATGTTTTGTTTTAAATTCACTATGGCATAGTAGTTGTAAACTGGTCCTATAGTTTGTAGTTAATTTTTGCACATAATATTTTTTGTAGACTCAAAGAAGGATATGGTAACACTTTCATCTGGTTCTGATGCTTCCTGGGAAACAGCCCTTCAAGGGCTGGTGAAGATAATCATGAAGATGACTCACTTAGTACTGCCAAGAGAAAGGATGCTCAGCAAACTAAGACTAGAAAAACAAAGGTTGCTGGAACAAAAGCTGGTCCAGACCAAGCAGGCAGTAAGGCACTTTAATATGACTTCCATTTCAGTTGATACTTGATAACTTATCACTCAGATTTGGAATGACATGTGATACTGTTTCATGGTTCAACATCAAAGACGGAGATGCTGAAGATGATATGCAAGATAAACTCACAGGAAACTCTGTAAGATGCCAACTCACCCATCTCTCCACTTTATTGTTTTATGCTCCTTCAAATTTGGATGTGAAGCTCTAGCCATTTTCAATTATATATTTGCAGCTCTCTGATGGAGTGTATGTACCTCTAATGCCAGGTCTCCCAGAGGTTACCATTAATATTTCCTGATAAAGTTCAACGTTCAAAGGTATGCTCAACTCTAAGAGGCACTGCTTATACGGAGATCACCCATTAAAGTTTCTATGTTTTGCAATGAATGTTATCACCATGGCTGTTATCATCCCCCCCACCCCTATTATATTTATATTATATTCTTATTCTCAGAAGAATTGTCTTCTTAGCATTGCTGTGTAAGGAATATGTTATATAGTGTGTAGAGGTATAATCAGGAGACATGACATGACATTGACACTTGTTTGTGTATGATACATTATGCAGTCCATTTGTAGAGAACAATGATTTAACAATGGGAGCATGGACTAAAACACAATAGCCACACCTTTCTTTTCCTGCTTGAACAACGAATGATGGCATCAGAGCTGCATTTTATTTCCTTAATTGATAGAGGGAAAACGATTGACTTACAACTGTTAACCCAATCTCAAATCTGAAAAGCGAAAATGAAAATTAATGTGCCACAAAGAAATTTAAAAGATGACAAGAACAACATGATGGGAAAAAAGCCCCAGCCTACTTAAATAACAAGCTCTGGATCTTAAGAGCTTCGGCAGTGTACCAAAGAGCCATATACTTGTGGTTCTAATTTCTGAATTGTGTATCTGTATCTGTATCTGTTAAATGGAACTGTGAATGACTAGACTTCTGGAGAGTAACTTGGTGAATCTATCATTCCCTGTTATCCCTTAACATATATACCTCCAAAATTCCGACTGCATATCCAAAATTTTATTTCATTAACATTTCCCAAGTTATAATCCTTGTTCTGTTTGTTTGTTTTCTTTTTAGGCATTGATTGAATGTGATGGTGACTCGATAGATTTGAGTGGAGATATTGGTGCAGTTGGGAGGATAGTAGTTTCAAATGGTCCTACTGGAAATCAGGATTTGTTGTTGGACCTGAAAGGTACCATCAAGTAATTTATCATTTTGTGTACTTCTTTGGATACTGAATTGTAATGATGTAAATCTGTACTGAAGCTTTGCTTAAGCATTTGAAACCAGCTCTGTTTTGTCTTAAATCTTGATATGTGCAATATTCCAATACTTGAACATCTTATTTCTTCTCCCCAACTCATACAGGAACAATATACAAAACAACTATAGTTCCATCCAGGACATTTTGTGTTGTAAGTTATGTTCCAAACCCATGTAGAGGTTTATTGTTTTGTGTTGGTGTTTTAACCCTCGATGTATTTTTCTTTCAGGTTAGTGTGGGACAATTAGAAGCAAAGGTTTATAAACTAAATTTTGCATGCATATTTGAGCTATCCACTATGTCAATTCACACATGTCATAATTTCGAGCATTAGTGTGCCATTTCTGCTTGTTAATTGGGTTATGTGTTCAATTTCTAAACGCCACTTCCATTCCAAGTCAACTATTCACCATAATCCACCCACCCACTGTTTTCTTCTGTGCAGATAGAGGCTATAATGAATGACTTCATTCAACTGGAACCACAATCCAATTTATTTGAAGCAGAGACTATGATGGAAGGTACATACTTCCGACAGTTACTGCAGGGTGCAGGCTAATATAAGTTCAATTTTTCTCCAGAGCATCTCTAATGTATAAAGCTGGCATGCACACTCAAACTTGTAAATAGTGGCATGCTCCTATCGTTCTTTGATTGAGCTATTTTTTGGTGCATCTGCATTTGTGGCTGTAGCTTCAGTCTTTTAATGTGCACTACAAGGAACAACCAGGCTTTTCACGAAGCAATGGTCCCATTGTTTATACGATGATAGGCTGCACTGCAATTTTCATTCTCTAATATTGAAGATCTATCATCTGTTTAGGTACCCTTGATGGATTCACATTTGATTCAGACAAGGAGGGTGACAAATTCTATGAACCACAGGCTAATCAAAATGATCAGAATAATGAAGATGAAGGTCAACCTAAGGCAAAGACCAAAAGGAAAGCAGAGAAAACAGCGGTGTGCTTTCTTGACTCTGATAACTAACCTGCAACTATGAATAGCTAGAGTCTGGATAGTTGTTATGTACAGAAGTTTCCAATTGGTGGTGTTGCAGATTTGCAGCGGTTTCAAATTCTGTATTGGATGTGTTTACTGGGAATTTGCACGAGCCATTTGCAGTAGCACTGTTCTTATTTTTTATGTTTCGTTGCTGTTGCTGTGTTCGCTGAAGTAATCATTTCACAGAACCATAACAAAAAAAATGTTGTAAAACATGCTATCAACAAGTTTGTGGTAAATTTGGCAATGGCAAGATAGCTGATACTCCAGATTTCAGCTTGCTGCTAACTGCTAGTGTGTTGCTATTCTCTCATGGTAGCCCAAGTTACATTGAAAAATGCTTGTCGCAACATCGTAGTGCACCTGATGGGAATCTAATCTGCTTCCTGTGACATGCAGGGGAAGGCACCGAAGAAGGCAAAGGTTACAGGAAAGGGCCCTAAAAAGGGCGCAAGGAAAACCCAACCTACCAAAAGAGGTAGGAAGGCGAAGAAGTGATGACATGTTGATTTCCTCGGAAAAGAAGAAAGGCTATTCAGAACCAAAGATGAGAATTCTTGAACGTATAGCCATTGCTGTGAGGCCACATGCGGTCTGGCGTTGTCAGTTTAACATCATATATAGTACTTGTTTTAGAGAGAAAGAGACCATGCAAAACTGCAAAGCTGATTTTCTGTAGGTAACATTGTTGTGTACATTGAATTTGTAAACTTGTTTCTGAGAAGGTGTGGTCTGTAGTCTGTACTCTGTTCAACAAATCTCAGATCAGGTCCGGCCAGTTGCTTTGTTGTTGTATTTAAATGGTAAATTTGAACTCGATTGGCTCCCAATTGATCACTACCGATGCCCATTCTGTTCCCAACCGGATTTTTTTACAGTCCATCAGTCCGAGGGAGTAGACGAGCTTTTAGCACTGGTTTGGAGTCACTTCACTGTACATTCGTGCCGAATTCAAATTTCATTTCACCATGAAAGGAAAAGAAATGCCTTTGTTATAAAAAAAATCTGAAATAGTATATATAGATAATGCCATCCGATTCCTTCCTGTGTAAGGTACGGTTCCTGCCTTGACTGACGAAGTGGCGAGCAATAATTGTCGTAGCGTCCAAGGTTGTCCATGCCGTCCGATCAGCCGCCAAGAACCATCCCAGCCGTCCGTCCTCTGCCCCTAGCGTCAACTGCCAACACAGGAGGCGTGCGCCGCGCGGGGCAGAACTGCAGCGTGCCCGAGACGACGCGTCATTCCTTCCTTACCTTTCCTTCCCTGCCCCTTCGCCGCCTGCTCCGCGCTCCCCTTCATTTCCGCGTCCGCTTCGCCTCGCGGTCGGCCAGTCGCAGCAGCAACCGCCGCCCCCCGCTTTGCTCCCCCACCGCCTCCTCCGCCCTCCTCACGCCCTACCGCTCCGTCCGTCCCCCGCCCCGGGCTCGTCGGCGGGATCCAGCGCCGCCGTGGCCGGCTGCGGTGCGGTCCCCTCATCTGGGGCGCGTGGGGGCTGGTGGTGAAACGGCCCGCGTCCTCGGTGCCTCTTGACGTCTGCCCGCTTCCTCGCCGGCGCCATTGTGTTCGTACGCCTCCTCTCCCCAGCTTTTGCTCGCTAGCTTGCTAGTGTGGTTTGTTTGGTTGCTGTGTACTAGTTCTGAGGAGGGGATCGGGCTTGTGGGTTTCGCTTTGCTCTCCTCTGTGCTTTAGAGCCCAGATCTACTGCCCCAAATGGATGTAGAGGTGTTGCTTCGACTTTTAACCGGCAACATTTCGACTGTCTGATCGGAACCAGCCAAGTTACGACTTACCGCTAGTCCATGCTTCAGATTGAACAATTGGGTTCCCGTATGCGCGGAAGCGGAACAGTGGAACATGGCGTGTTGGGTTCCCGTATGCGCGGGAGCGGAACAGTGAAACAGGGCGTGCTCACCTGTCCACCTTGTGACTGTTAATTCCACACGGCTCTGAATAAATGACACACTGCACGTTGCACAATCTGAAACCGGAGTGTACTTGACAGTTTATTGACTGTAGATGTGTACATACGTAGATTAGTGCTGTAGTTTTCTTAATCTGGCATTCTGATGAATGCTCTGTGTACATGCATCCTGTGTGCCCAAATGTTTTTAGATGCCTGCCCCTATAAGAAATAGAAGTACCACAGTAGGTCAGATCAGCATAGCTTGGTGCAAGACAACGCTCTTATTTTTTTTAACATACTATCATTTTGTAGTCTTGTCACTACTAAATTTGTTGTTCAACCTCTTACCATCTGCCTGCTCCTATCTGACACATCTTTTATTGTATTATTAGGTATAAATCCCCTGTGATAATAACCACTGCTAGTGATGCATTCTTCGGAAAATAAACTGGTATCCTCCAACTCGGGAAGATCATCAAAAGGGAATGAGACCTCTATGGAGTTTGTTCCAGTACCAAAAAGACCAACTAGACATGATGCTTCTCGCCAATGCAAATCTGATTCTCCTTTGAAGCGATCACCAAGGAAAGTCAGAAATGCTACTCTGGCAAAAAGCATAAAGAATAAATATCATTTTAGTCCCCTCAAACAGCGGAGGGGTTCAGATTCTGTTGCTGGGAAAATTGTGACAGGACTAACTGCACGGAGGAGGAAGAAAAGAAAAATGCAAAATACAGACGAGGCAACTCGCTTGGAACGAAGAGCGAGATATTTTCTAATCAAGATAAAATTGGAGCAGAATTTGCTAGATGCTTACTCTGGAGATGGATGGAATGGGCAAAGGTGCATCCCGTGCTCTCCCTGCTGTAATCTGCTGGTGAAAAGAAAGTTTTCAAATCTATATACATCCTTGTAGAGTCAATGCATTCTTTTGAACTTTGCAACCAGAAAAATGCTGTCTTGTCAGGATGAACAGAGGAAAAGTTCAGAGAAATGTATTGTAGCTTTTAAGGCTTGTAACCAACAAGACGCCTATTCTTTTGGAACTTTTACATATGAGATTTATGATGTCCCATGAAGAATAGGTGTATGTGGGCAATGTGACAAATACATGTTTTTAATTATTTAAAATTTCTTAATTATAGTAATATCACAGGTCCACTGGCTGCTGCCATTTGTAACTTATTAATGTAGCTTTTCATAGTCTAGGAGCATTTAGGTTGATGCAGTTAAAGTCTATTTCATGGAATGAAAGTGCTGTGTGGTACCTTTTATTGATTGGGCTAGTGAGAGAATTCTGTTTTTCTTGCCTGTTGTTTGGATAGAATCATGTTAACAGGTTATATAACTTCTCTTAAATCAGTTCCACAATGTTGCTGTTATATAATTTGCTTCCTCATTTTTTTCAGATGCTTTCATGTGTTAGTACAGTAAAGTAAAGTATGATGGTAAAAAGTACACTAATTATGTTCACTTTTCCAAACAGCCGGGAGAAAATAAAGCCAGAGAAGGAACTGCAGCGTGCCAGGAAACAAATCATAAAATGCAAAATTGGTATACGTGATATCATTCGCCAACTTGGTTTGTATACTTCTACTGGGAGTGTTGATGACCCAGCAATGCCTCCAGATCAGTCTACCAATCCCGAACATGTATGTATGTTATCAAGTGAAGGCCAGATGTTCTACTTCATAGGATCTATCAACTGATAAATTGTCAATATTTATTTTGCTAGACCATGTGCTCAACATGCAAGTCTCATGAATCATTTCCCAGCAATAAATTTATCTTCTGCGAAGGGCCCTGCAAAAGGGCATATCATGAGAAATGTTTGGAACCTCCCTTGAACAAAAGCGGTAATTATTTCTTGTTTTACTTCCAAATATGCGGCTTTATATTTGTTCGACATGGTTATTTGTTGAGTTTAAAGCCTAACAGATTTGTTTTGAATTCCCCACCTCTCTTCCCTGAAAACTTTGTTTCAGCCTTTTGTGCTATCTTTTTTGTGCTTATAGTGTAATAATATTGTTACATGTGTATGCCAAAACAATGCATATTTTGTTTGTTGACTGGTAAAAGTTATAAGGCTAATTTTTTCATTTTGAAACCAGTTGACCATTGACAGATAAACAGTATCTTGACATTCTTATTTCTTACATTAGATTTATCCCTTACTAAAGAAGTTATCAGTCTAAGTTCAGGGTAACTTTTGAAAATATCTGTGTTCACTTTATTTTAGAGTAATATTTCATGTGCTGCCACCCACCAGGGTCCTCAGCAATAATAGTTGGATGCTGCCCTAGTTCCTCTTCTGTAAACCTATTTTTAGAGTTTTGCTTCTCGCTGCCTAACTTTATAGTTTTGTTAATTTTCTTCCTTCTATAACTCTGAATTAAAAAAACCCCATGTGTAACAAGTTGAGATTTTTGACCTGTAATTTACCGCATAGGATGTACATGGCCAGATGGCCTGGATGTAAAACCAGCTACATTCTGCATACTAAAGTCTGCAGTTTGAATGCACTTGTTACTGATGCTGTCATTATTATCATGAAAAGTTTGCTTATCATGATTGCAATATGTAATACAAACATTGATTGGCAATGGGCACATACCCTAGCATAGTTGCGCCAATCATCTGAATTAACTTGTGGAGAAAAATAAATGATATCGCGAATTTATGGAACTGCAGTCAGCAACGTGTAGATTACCTGGTACCAAAATCAACAGTACTAGAGTTTAGGGCCACTAACTCATGATTGTATATTGATTTATATTAATGTAGTCTTTTCTATGTAATAGCTTTCATGTTGTGGTGCTGTTTGGTACGCCTTTGCTTTGGTCTTATATGTAGTAGACTCCTGTGATAGTTGAGTGGCATTTATTTCTAGGAACTACTGCTTATCTTTGAAGTATTATTACCCCTTTACATGTCTGCTTTTGCAATAGTTCTATGCAGATTCTATTCTGATGTTGCAGTGGCATTTATTTTACCATTGATACATTTATCTGTCTTGTTCTTTTCATCAGTACTTCCAACAAGTAGCCATGGATGGCTTTGCAAATTCTGTTTGTGCAAGATGAAAATTTTAGAAACTATTAATGCACATCTAGGAACAAGCTTTACAGTGAAGTGCCCCTTTGAAGTAAGTGTTTATTGTTCTCACACCCATATTATGACTTTCACTTCAGCATTCCTGTCACTGTCAACTCTACTTGCTTTCTGTAGGATATATTCAAGGAAGCAACGGAACAAATAGACTCCGAGGATGCACTAGATGAAGATTGGCTTTCTGAGTATTCAGGTGATGAGGACTATGATCCTGACGAAAATGAGGACAGCGTCAACTGTATGGACAGCGGGGAGGAAATTATGTCTGATGATTCCAATGGTTCAGGAAGCCCCCTTTATTCTCCAAATGACGATATTCCCGACTTCATATCAGCAGACTTAAATGACGTGGAAGGGTTTTGCCACACCAATTTAGACTTAGGCATTGATGCCGTTGAAGATGATTTGGCACAGATCCTTACCTACCAAAGGCCAAGAAGAGATGTTGATTATAGAAGGCTTAATGAGGTATGTTTCACCAGT